TGAACATTCAGTCAGATTAGATTATTAAATCATTAATTTTTACCTAACTGTAAAGTTTTTGCAAATTAAATGGAATTGCAAGTTTGAATTTATAAAAATCAAATTGAAGATTCCATTAAATCTGAAAAATCATATACAAATATTTTATAATATTAAATTAAATTTTGATTCTTGTATATAATTAAATTAATAAGAATGTACTTATGAATTTACATATAAAAATGTTCACTATTTCAAACCTTTCTAAATTTTACATTGATTAGACAGAAAATCAGAATATATTTCTAAATTACAATTTTTAATCTTAACATTTAACATCAGGAGTACCACATTAATGAATTTTGATGTATTAACTAATCAGGAACTTAAAATTTGTGAATTTACATCTTATAAATTAGCAAATAAAATGTAATTTGAATTAGATTATTTATTAAAGGAGGTATACTTAAGATATTTAAATTAAAATAAGAATATGAAGAAATTGCATGAAATGAAAAAGAAAATTATCAGTATCTCAAACAAAAATTAATTCAAAGGGCTTGAAATAAATCTTAAAAAATTCTTTTGAAACCAAACTATAAATACTTTTGATTTGATTTTATAAAAATATTGATTGCATCTTGCAAAATTAAGATTCCCTAAGGCTTGTTAGCATTTAAATAAGTTGAATGCAGTATCTTTACGTATCATTAAAAAGCCAGGAGCAAAGTTTTCTTGCTATTGGATTAAACTTAATAAAGGCAGATATTAGTAAGAAGATGACCAATATAAAACATTATTAAGGGATCATTAAAATTACTTAACTAATAAATATCTAAACATCAGGTATTTTTAAAAGGGAAGAATCTATAACATTTTTAATTATAATGGAAAATATAGAGCATACGAAAGAAAAAATTGAACCCTGATAGGAAGATTAAATGAACCAATAGTTCTATAAATATCTTTGAATACCATATAAGAGTTATTAAGGTTTTTTATACTTTTACTGTTATAACATAATATTATAACAATTATTTATTTATATTAAATTTGTTTGATCATTCCTTAGTTGAATTCAAATACTTGAATTAGTGACTCACATCCAGCCAACAAGGTTGAACAATCTTTATCAATAGGTATTGCACTACACCAACCGCTTTATGATATTGAACATTCTTGGACTAGTTAATAATTGAAAGTTTTGACATTCGACTGATTAATAGATTAAATCATATTTTTTTTCTTGATTTATTATTATTAATACTTTTCTGTATATTTCTGAGAACCTAATTCTAAATCAAAAAACAGTTACTAACATTAATTATATGCGCCAAAAATTAATTAAATTATTCTAATTTAGGATTCAACTTTGAAGTCCAACAGAGATTAGTTTTCTAAATCTCTTGGATACATGAATTTTGGAACCAGTTTAATTTGACTTCAAAACCATAATTTCTAATTCCTCAAAAAAACTATTTTGAGAACATATTGATCTTTGTTATATTCTGAATCCATCCAATAACTATATTAATCAATTATTCTAATTATTACCATAGATGTGTTTTCATTTGATCAACAATATTATGTAATGATTCAATTTATTTAATTTACTTCATTATATATGATATTTTCCACTTTTTCCATCTTCTTTACTTAATTTTCTTCAATTAATGAAATCATTTTCTTTAATCCAATTGCTTTGCCATCTATGTCTGTATTTTCTTAACATTATTTGCACAATAGTCTTTAATTCCTTGAGAATTTTGGATCAAGTGTTATGGTAACGACTGGTAGCTTTTGTCCTTTAGAGCAACAAAAATCCTTTTGATTTTCTATCATTTATGGTTTTTACATTTAATTCAATAATAAAATAAATTGAGAATTAATTCATATTTATATTGCGTATTGTTATCTCTCTATTTTATGCCATTGTCAGCGAGTAAAGGCTTTGCTGCCTTATTATTTCTTGTTCAAGCCATATTGTTTTAACAGTAGAGCTCATAAATAAGAATTTTTTACCGATATATTTTTTGAAATAATAAGCAAAAGTTTATTAGGGTATAGCTCTTTGCAATTAATTATTTTTGTAAAACAATCATTTCCTGCAATATTAGCTTATTGATTAAGGAATTTACAGATAGTAATACCCCTTTCTACTTATAATATGTATTATATTGTCCTAATTTTTGAAATTTCAACTTCTTAATTAATCACAATATTAGCATCTTCTTTCCTTAAAATATGCCACCTTAATCTATCATTTAAGATTTAAAATATTAATGTTAATAGTAATTCTATTAAACCATAATTTATACTGAATCTCATTTATAGTGACCAAATTATAAATTATTGAATTTTTCTTCAGCTTTATCTCCTTACTTCTATTACATTAATAGAATTTATGTTGTAAGTTATAAAAGCTTTTAAGATTAATTCCATATTTTAAATCATCATTCATAAGATGATATAAATTTTATATCTAAGTATTCATTTATTTGTGAAAATAGTATATAATATTTATTAGCAATGAATGTAATATAACTTTTGAATCAGAAATGGCTTTAAATTCAATATAAAAAGACACATTTTTTTTTTTATTAAGTAAAATAGGAATTGATCTCATTTTATTTGAAGTTTTAGACTAATTATTTTTTCATGATATCAATAAATTCATTTTCTCAAAATATTATTCTTATACCAAATTTAAATGATAAATAAACCCTATTAATAGTATTTGAAAAAATGATTATTCTATATATCAAGTTGCAAATATCATTTTCTTATATACATAATGAGCATTCTGTATGATATAATTTAATAAAAGGTCTTTTTATTGTAGAATAAATATAAAGTCGCTATTACATTGAATTCTAAAAGGAAATTGCCTTATATATTGATTTCCTGTACTGTGAGTAGATAATTAAATAATTCCTGTTAAAAAACTTGTACTTGAAAAAAGAATAAAATGTTTAATTAACTTAGGAGTTTATTAAAAATGACTAAAATTATTTTTAATTAAGTATCTCAATTAAGCATTTAATTTAAAACATGTATCAATAATGCAAATGGTCTTGCTAAATAACAAGTTTCTTATTTAAATCAGCCTCTATAATAGAATATCATTCTGTTATTTTTTTTGCAACAAATTATTATATTTTATTGTGCATTATTAGTTATATTAATAGCATTGTAAAACGTGCAAAAATTTAGATTAGAATTATTAAACCAATCAAAAATAATTTGTAAAAAAAGATCGAATTTATTATTGTTATTTCACTTGATTTAAGATGTAAATAAAATAAGACAGTAGTGAAAGCTATATTTTAATTTATTAATAATGGAAACTGTTGAATCATAACATTATCGTAATTTTTAAGGAAATCAAAGTCTTTACATATATCCAATTAACACAAGCGTATGAGAGTGAATTTCAAAAATTTTGAAAATTTAAAAGAAACATATCCCTTCACACTTTATTGAACGATAAATAATTATTAGGATTTTATAATTGTTATAAGAAAAGTTTAAAAATGAATGTCCGTATTTTCATATGAACTCTAACCAAAACCTTTTTATGAATTATCATTTTGCTTAAATTAAATTATTCCAATTATATGATGGTGAATTGAGATTATAGAAAATTTTTAATAACTCTGGTGATATGGCTAATCTTAATTCTTGTCTGATGGCGTTTATTGCCTATTAATTGACCCTAGTGGAGACCTAATAATTTTTGTTCAAAGTCTATCTAATTTTGGTCATCTTCTTCAAAATTACAAAGCTTAATTTTAAATTATAAGCCATGATAATTCAGTTGATCTTGGATTATTATTGAATTAAAATGGAAATAATAATATAATCCTGGCTATGAAAAGTTCAAATAAATAAAATGAATTATTATTAAAACAATTAGTGTAGAAAATAGTGTACTAAATCGGCTTACTTCGGATAAAATATTTATAATTTAACCATATAAATCAAAATACATTCAAATCTATACTTACAATAATCTATCAGGAAACTACATTAAATTCTAAAATAAGCCAGAGAAAGGAGGTAATAAATCCTGTGACATCAATTTTTCATCTTTTTATATTCCCTAGAAGTAAATTAATATTCCTACAGAAAAATGGTCAAACTATTAATATTATTCATAGTATGGGATGGGACAATCAGAATAAGCAAATTTAGAATTTCAATTATATTTGTAAAAATGAATTATAATTATAAATATCTAATTTTTGGGTATTATCAAATCGATTAAATTTAAGTAAGAAAATAATTATCGACAAATAGGGATCACTTCATTTATATATTGTTTCAATCAAACACTTTTTTTCTAATTTAAATTAAATTTTGAAATTTATTCTATAAAATTAAAAGTATTTTGTAATTATCATCTATATTTTATGAACTTATATTTGCTAACATAAATAATTTGAGAAATTCAATTAAATTTGATAGAGAATCCATTAAAATTCAAACTTATCAGTTCTAATATCAGATATTTATGATTAGTAAATTGTAATTATGCTTAAATTATCCATCAAATAACATAATCTGATATCATAAGTAACAACTAAGTAATTTTCTTTGTACTTCATCCATAATTTTGGATTGATTATATTTTTTTAATTATTGCGTCTTAACTGGAAATAATTATAATAAAGAAAATTAAAATTTTAATATTTCCATATTTTTATATTTGATTTTTTCTTAACAGTTCTTCTATTATTCTTGAAGATCTCGAAACATTATTTCTTAAAGGTAAGAGTGAATCTCCTTTTGGTAATTTCACTCTTGAATTATTATTTAATTTTGATTAGTTTCTAATACTGTTTCAATTATTAAATCTAATAGAAAGCTAATTTGAAGTAATTTATGAATTAAAATTTAGAGTTTATTTTATTTTAAAGATTGTTGAATTTTCTATTTGTTTCAGTAATCATTGATTTAATTCTATTTTCATAACTTTTTGTTTGGACATTATTATAAATTATGAATACGAGTAATTCTGCAAGGTATTTAATATTATTCTTAGAATTTTTTTAATTAATATGCTGGATCAATCGTAAATATATTTCACAGATTATATTTTGATTTTCTTAATTTTTTATTAAATAGTTTAGACCTTATTTAGTTTTTTATAAAAAAATAAAATATATTCTTTTATCTAACTTGTTTTAATAAAAATTATAATATGATTTTTGAAATGACATTTAAATCAAATGAATAAATATTCTTATACAAAATATTATAAATAAAGACTTTTATTTAAATTTTTTAATTTTATTATAAATTATTTTTGTTATAACAAATCATTATATTATATTTCATGAGAAGCCAAATGAAGTTTATTTAATAAGCTTTAATGATACAATATAGAATAAGAAGAATACCCAAGCTCATTATTATGTTAAAAATCTAATTGAAAAATCTTCAATAATTTGAAAATTTCCAAGCAAGCGTAATCATATATAAGGGCCACTAAATTTTTGGAAAATATTTTTATTCCGAAATTCGAGAAAAAAAATAAAAAAGATTATTAGCCACAACTTTACTCTAATAAAACTTTATTATAAATATTTTTCCTAAACATTGCAGATTTTATTACAATTTCTGTATCAATGTATTACTTTAATTTTTATATTGAAAATGATGGTCTTATCTTTTTCCAACTATTTGGATACTAGGACAGTTTATATTATAAAAATTTCCTTTTGCAAATTGATATCATCTAATATTTCAATTTTTCTTTTGTATTCCAAGTAACAATAGCTGGCATGGCATTCCTTATCAATTTATTATAATTTTCTATTCAAAACAAATTAAAAAAACACGATATAATTTTAATAATAAAAAATACTTTTAAAATATTCAAAGGTTTTAATTTTAACAATGAGTGGTGATCAAACTGGATTTACAATAGCTAAAATAAAACAAAGTTCATATTCTAAAGATACTTTAAGAATAATATCAAATGAATTTATAAAAAAGAAATTTTTTAAGTAAACTACCTTTTATAAGAAACAAAATGGAGAGATAAAATCTTATTTCATTTTTGATTGAAATAACAAATGAAAAATTAAAGAAATTTTAATTTTTAATTTGGCTTTTACTTTTAACTAATAAACCAAATTAATTAAATTATTTGCCTTGTAAATATTATTATAAACGAGACTTTAAAAATTAATTCAATATAAAAATTTGTAAATAAATCTCGCCATGATATATAATATCATGTTAAATAGGAGGTGATAGATATTAAGTTATTCTTAAAATTTATATTTTTAATTAGACCAATACTGATTCTGAATAATAATTTCAATGCTTATCATTTATTCAAAATTGATCTTTCATACAAAATTTAATTAATAGATAACTAAAATGTTTAAAACTGCTATTCAAACCGGATTCATATTATTTTCTTGATTTTGCATAAAATTCAATCCTATAAACAAATATATATTATACCCTTATTATTATTACATGCCATTCTATTTTTGCATGAATTTTTTGCTTCAATTATGAAATACCAAAGATGTATTCTTATTTTATATTATTAATTACAGAATTCAATTAAGATTTCACATTTATTGTAGTATGTATTTAATAAGATTAATAGCTAATGCTTTCCTAGAATTAATTTAAAGAAATTCTAGTTTGCATTTATAAGTTCCCCATCTCTTGGATGAGTCCAAAAAGGCTTATTTTGCAGAAAAATGCAGAAATATTTGTTTAAATATTATTAGTAATCAATTTTTACCATCAACAAAAGAATAAAATAGAGAAATAGCGTAAATTTTATATTGAAAATAAACTGTAAAATTGAAGAAAATCAAGTATTTATTGAATTATAATCTGAATTAACTGTGTTAGGTTTAAATTAGGATTATTTAGTAACTGATGAAATTTAAACCACTCGTAATCTATCGTATCAAATCAAAATTCAAATTTAAGTAATTATATTAGAAAATAAATTAGATATGATCCGATAAATCATTCGATTAAAAACTCTCCACCTAAAACCCAGTAAACTATTTCTTTGGGTCTTATTGGAAGAACAGCATACTCCTATATACCTATATATGAATTATCAAAATATAATTTATTATTAATTTCATTTTTAAATATCTTATTATTGTAAAAAATTGATAAATCAAAGTCATCTTGTTTAAATTAGATATTATGTAATTTAAAAATATTCATAATAATTTTAATATATCAATTGCTGACACAGATAAATACCTTTACATTAGATTTCAGATGAGGAAAAAATGATATTCAAAACACAAGTTTGATTGAAGAGATAACCTTTAACAAATAAAAAGTGGGTAATTTAAAAAAACTCATAGAGGATTATTCAATCATCAATTATAGAATAAAGGTTGTTCAATCAACAAAACTATAGACAAAGTTAAGTAAATAGAGCAGGCAATAACACAAATGGAGAAAAACTAGAAAAATCTGAATCAAAACTTAATTTTCAACTTTTGAAGATGATGTAAGAATTTTATCAAAGAATTGAATTTATTCAGCTTTGAAGGCTCTTAAAAATAGGAGAGCTCGCTGGATGAAAATTCCTAAATTTATTCAATATAGGAGTAGCTGCAATCTATAAATAATTCCCCTAAATTAATCTATTTCAAAGAAAAGTTAGAAAGGATTTAATGAGAAATTAGCATTCATTAGTAAAGCTAATCAAATTCATTTTTATGAAGGAGAAAAATCTATTAGTAATAATTATATAATACTTTAAATTATAAATAGTTTCACTTGATTAATCAAAACAAATTTATTCTTAAAAAAAATTGGGTAAACAATAACAGATTCAAGACTAAATTTTATAAATTATTAAAGATTTATTAAATAGTTATCTTATGAGTTTTTAATCATATATAAATTCATACTGATTTCTTTATTAGATAAAATGACAAATTTTATGTTAATTAAAACCTAAAATATTTCTGTTAATATTCTGTCAATTAATTGCATATTAAATTTGATTATCAATAATATCCATTAACAAAAATAGTAAATGAACTAGTATAATATTTTTGGAAACAATTAGATAATCAAAAAACCAAAATGTAGAAATAATTTTAATTCAGTAAATGAATAAAGCTTATAGAGTCGAAATATTGATGGATATTCATATTGTAATTCAGATTATGAGAAAATAAACTTCTAGATTTAATATGGTCAAGAAGACAGTATTTCATATATTAAAGATGGTTAAATCTTGTTAAAGTAAAACTTTTTAACCAAACTCTCAGAGATTGGATAAATGAAGACTTTTCAGATGATTCAATCATAAATAGCTTTGATTTTCTGAAATATTTAATCTAGGATGGTTAAGATTATAAAAATAAAAAGTTGGCAAGTGGACTGCATATTGGAAGGGTAATAAATTAGATGCTGGAGGCTACTATAATGAGGAAGGCTTAAAAATAGGGATAAGGATAGAACCTGTCAATATATTTAGGGAGTATGTCTAAATATTTAATTTCTATTAATGATTTGGTGAACATTGTTGGGGAATACCAATAAGGGATAGGAGTAGAAAATTTGGAGTATTTTTTAAATTACTTCCATTATAATATTTAAAAAAATTGCTCTCAATTGCAGAGGTTAATTTAATGAGTCTGGAATCAAATAAGACAAATCTATCGAAAAAATTAATGTATTACAGAGTATTAATAATAAATTATGGAGAATATAAAAATAGAAGAAAAATTGGAATATGGGACACATGCAGCAATCTTTGGTTTCTAATTTTAAAGAAGTTTTTCAAAATAAATCTATCAAAATGTATATCCAACTTAATATATATTAAAAGACTTTATGTAAATATAATGAAAATTATTTTTGATTAAATTTAAAAGAATATTATGTAAATTATAAATTATTTTATTATTTAAAAAACCGGAAATGATTAATTTTAATGAAAAGTAAAGCTCATTTCAAAAATGTGTGATTATATTTTCTGTTTTTCAAAATTTATGATATCCAAATTTAAGAAATCTAAAAAATTGCATTATTTTATACGATAGCAAAAGTATTTGTGTAGAAAGATATTTTCTGATTAGAAGAGATATTATATTTTGATTTAAAATTGTTTGTTTGCAGATAATACATAATTTCAAGTCTTGCTAGATTAATTTAAAGTGTTCTTAGTCAGGCTTCTTGAAATGATACTGATATTGATGAAGTTACTAGGAATTGTAATTATATATTTTTAATGTCAACTTTTAGATATAAAATAGTATTTATTTTAATAAATACTTAAACTTTGTTTTCTTTATAACAAGAAAAGCGTTCTATTATATTTAGTAAATAATATTAAAACTAAAATTTCAAGAATTTATATAAGTAGATTATGAAAGATAGATTATAAATGATTCTTTAAATTATCATGACTGAATTAATTATCTAATTTCGTTCCATTCTAATTTTTAATAATAATTGTAATTGTTCTAGTTCCTAAAAGCATCATTCCCTGCAACATAAACTTGTTTATTAAATCAATTTATAGAAAATAATACCATCGTACTTCTCATCTTAATAATTGCTCTAAAAGTAATATTTATATAAATTCAAAACTCATTATCATTATTATTTCCTATATGATAAAGACTTCCTTTAATAAGTTTATCCTAGGTGTATTTCCTTAGTGTATACACTTTAATTTTAGTTTAAATACATAATTTTTAATTGCAATTAAATAATTGTTATTGAATTGAAATGTTATTAAGAGCGAATAAGGTATAAAATAAATATTCCTCATTAAATGTTCGTATGTTCATGACTTTAGATGTTTTCTAAATTAATTTAATATTTATTATCACTCATTCAAAAAAAATCATATCATTGAATATTCAAGATCTGTAACCTAGTAAATGGCCCTAGCCTAATCCAGAGAATGCATCCTTATATTTTCTATAATAAGATAATTGACCCTTACTTTTGTGCATTAAGAATTCAGGTTAACGATACTAACGCATCAATAAAGAATTATGAGAATCCTCTTAGCAAGATCTTATTCTTAATTAATAGTTGTCCATTATTCAGTTAATTGTATATAATTTTCGGGTTACAAGATCATATTATTTGTAAATTAAAAAACACAATTCTGCTTAGAATTGTTGAAATAGTAAAAAGTTAAAAAAGATTATGAGGTCAACAAATGGGATGAAAGAAAAAAAAATAATAAAGGTTAAAATACAAATCACATTTATATAAGAGAATTAAATGATTTTCTAATTAGGAAGATGTAATTTTGAGATAGTATTTGATTATTTTGGAAGGGAACTTAACTAAGACGATTTCAGAAATAAAGAAATCTTAGAAGTAATAGAATAAATCTAATTTTCTTTAATGGTAAGGTGAATATGGACCAAAAAACTAGAAATAATATAGATGGATTGCAACTTGGAAAGGGGAAATAATTTAGGAAGTTGGTGGATACTATGAGAATGAATTAAAAGTAGTTTAATTGAAACAACCAAGTAAGAATTATTTGAGGTAAAAAATACAGAATAGTCAAGCTCAATTATATGAAAGTGGAGAATACTCTATTGATCAAAAATTGGGAGACGGAATTATATCTATGATAACTAAATTATGGATAATTATTAATTAATTTATTAGTGGAGGTAGGTCATATGATTATGGAAGTGGCAAAATTAAGATTGCTTACTGAATTGATTCACATAACCGATTTTCGAATTACAGAGAAGTGGCTCATAATGGTGAATATATAATGGCAAAAAGTAGGTAGATGGGATATTAAGTATAGATATAGCAACAATAATCCATTCTCTAAAATGTAAAAATATTAATTAATTGGGAACAGCGTTAGAGGATTATACGATGATGGACTTAAGAATGGCAAGTGGACTGATTTGGATGAAGAATTTAATAAGGAAAAATAAGTAACGTATAATTGTGTATATAAAAATGAGATAAAAATTGGTAGATGGGATATTGAGCTTCGGTTATATAGTAGCGATCCAATCTCTAAAATGTAGAAAATGATATATAGATCAGAAATAGTGGTGGCGGATAATATGATGACGGAAATAAGATGTGCAATTGGATTGATTTGGATGAATAGTTTAAGTATTTAAAATAAGTAATTTCTAATTTTGAATATTCTAATTGTAAAAATGTTGGTGTATAATGAATCATAGTCAGATTGGCACGAAAAATCAAATTCTGAATAAAATTCAATTTTTGACAGAAAAGGCTAGGGATTTGCATTCTTCTCCAAAAATAAGAGTGACATCTTTTCCTCATAACAACCTTTATATCTATTAAAAACGATATATTTTAAAAAAAATAGAGTTTAGCTTATCTTATCCTTGCCACACAATATTTCATAGAAAAAAATTTTGGTAAAATGAAAGTCTAATGATTTAAATTATTAGATTGCTTAAGCAATATTTACCTCCTAACCTTTTAAATATTCTTGCATGGATATCGAAATGCTATTTCTAAATGAACGTAAATTTTTATTTACTTATTATTTTAGCCCTTTTATCATGATCTTAATTTATCTACATTTCAACATAAGGAATGTAATGAATTAGAAATTAGAGGACCCTCATTTAATGCTTTAAAATCAATAGAAAATAATATGTCAAACTTTAATAAAAAAGCAAAATCTCAACAAATTATTAATTCATGGATATTTATAAATTTGACTATTTCGTCTTCACTTTACTTGACTTAATTGATAAATAAGAAAAAGTAGTTTTATGATTAGGTAAATTTATAGATTTCTTATTTCAGTAACCTCTCAATCATTTCAGAAAAAGAAGAACAAAAAATACCCCATTAAAATAATTTAAGATAAAAGGGTATATTATTGATTTTATTACTTCTAATTCAAAGGAAAAAATTAATCAAACTATAATAATTTCCTTACATATACAAAAGTATTGCTTGGATGAGAATTTTTAGTTTACTTAGATAAATTTTAACTTAAAATTAAGGATGAAATCGATGCAGGTCAAGTACTTTCTAACCTATTTCTAATACGGTATAGGATATTTCAAGCTCTTAATATGGATTATAAAAAGATATTGAGACCTATATTTTATTAACTAGGCTCCAAAAACTATGAAATATTTAGTCTCTTATTAAAATGAAATTAAATAATTCTTAAATATAAGAGAGTAAAAGTAGTCAATCATTCAAATAATTGTAAATTTTTCCTACTTAACTCATTATTAGGACTTAAGTAACATTGATCTACAACAATAAAGAATTACAATTTAGAATTAATGTATTGTGCAACTTTATTTACAGAGAAAATTAGTTAAATTGATAGTAAGATAATGAATTTCCTTTAAATTTGTTCTTTTTTTTCATTTTTGATATTCGATATTTTAATTTTAAATGAAGAGTCATTACATAATTTTTAGATAATAAATTTAAATATTTTATTCTGTAAAGTTGAGATTTTAGGGAACTTCTTTCTCTCAATTATGGAGAAATTATAAAATAATTGGAATTGAGTAATTTAGAATTAAATGCATTTAACTCTCTCAATTTTTAATTTTTTCTATTTTATTAATTCCAAAAGTTAAATCGTGGTGTGATAATGTATAACATTAATTTTATTTCTCAAATAAGGCCATGTTTCAATGTAGCTTATATAAAATCTTGCTGTTTGTTAAAGTTCGAAATATTAATTTTTGTTTCAAGGAAAACATCTAATGTAAATTGAAATCTAATATTAAGCTTAAGATTTTGAAAATTATAGTAAAATTATATTTCGACTTTAAGAAATTGTAAATCAAATTAAAACAAAGATTGCTTGAAGTTCCAAAATTAATTTATATAATTATAATTTTTTAATTATTTATTTATAAGTATTGATGGTAGTTAGTAAGATAACTAACTAGTGAATGATTTTTTCTGTAAAATAACTTTTAGATACTAAATTTTTCTCATTTGAAATGTTTATTTATTTTGAAAGAAAAATAATTATTATTTTACAAATTATTCAAAGTAATCAGTGCCACAGATACTAAATAATATCATTCTGAATAATTATTAAATAAATTTGAAGAAACAAATAAGCATATTCTATAATTAAATGAGTTTAAATAATTAAGTAAATAAATTTATATTAAATTGCTATTGGTTGCAATTTTCATATTCATGAAAAAGGCTGGATTATTGATTAGATTCATCATGTGATTTAAGAATTTTCATCTGAATTTGTAGTTTTTTATGTTTTCATATATCTCTTACTAATATTTTAAATACGAGAAATTAACTGTCATGCTTAAAGGAGTATTGTAAAATTGTCATCAATTATGTTAAATAGTATGGACTATCTTAATCAATTATCAGGAGAAAATTTTAATATTCCAGAACAAATTCATTTAAATATGATACGATCGATTACATCCCATATTCTTAGAGCAACTCACCTAAACTAGGCCTCAAAATGCTTGCCTAAGTATTGCTTGTCTGATAAAATCAAAGAAAAGTAATTAAGAGAAAATGACATGCTTTGGATTGCAGCAAATGCAGAGTAACTAAATATTCAATAATCATTAGTGACAAAAGGTGTTCAATCATCGAGATTCAAAAATTCATATAAGAAGAGCCTATGCTTGAGTAATCCCCAATTCGACTCATTGATTTGGGAAATAATTATTTCCGACACATAAATCCCAGAAAAAAAAAGACTATGCTTTAACTCTTAGATGCCTATGTTGATAACTTGACTCAAGAAGAAGCTTAATTATTCTAAGATGCCTTGTCCATCTACTTTGATAATACTTATTAAGGGAAAGACATGGAGGCCTTGAGTTGTGAAGAAAAGGATTTGCCAGAACCATTATTGTGGCACATCTATAGCTTAATGATATTTGATAGATTGAGTAGTCATTATGCTCGATATGAATATCTTGACTAATTCAGAATTATCGAATATTTTAATCAACGAGATAAAGTACTAATATATTTATATATAAAATTTTAGTCTAAAATCAATCGAGTGAAGTATGTATTTACTTCTCATCCAACTTAACCAAATTCATTGACTTAGTTGATTGCTATAAGTAGAATGCTACAAGGGATTGAATAAAATGATTACAAGTATCTTAAGTATGCTGCTAAGTTATTTATTTAATCCAATAAATAACGAGTTTTTAATGTAATCATCCACCTTTATATATTATAGAAAGTGTCTTACATTGAGGAATCATTAATTTATCATACCTAATATTTACCTAATCTTATTAAGGCTGTAGCTCAAGCTTATGAATTAGGTTTGTAGCACCCTGAAGAATATTTTGAGACTCCAGGTACTTGGT